CTATACCCATCTGGTCTACCGGGATCAGGTTTGATGCTATACCTATCTAGTCTACCGGGATCAGGTTTGATGCTATACCCATCTGGTCTACCGGGATCAGGTTTGATGCTATACCCATCTGGTCTACCGGGATCAGGTTTGATGCTATACCCATCTGGTCTACCGGGATCAGGTTTGATGATGTACCTATCTGGTCTACCGGGATCAGGTTTGATGATATACCTATCTGGTCTACCGGGATCAGGTTTGATGCTATACCCATCTGGTCTACCGGGATCAGGTTTGATGCTATACCTATCTGGTCTACCGGGATCAGGTTTGATGCTATACCTATCTGGTCTACCGGGATCAGGTTTGATGCTATACCCATCTGGTCTACCGGGATCAGGTTTGATGCTATACCTATCTGGTCTACCGGGATCAGGTTTGATGCTATACCCATCTGGTCTACCGGGATCAGGTTTGATGCTATACCTATCTGGTCTACCGGGATCAGGTTTGATGCTATACCTATCTGGTCTACAGGGATCAGGTTTGATGCTATACCTATCTGGTCTACAGGGATCAGGTTTGATGCTATACCTATCTGGTCTACCGGGATCAGGTTTGATGCTGTACCCATCTGGTCTACCGGGATCAGGTTTGATGCTATACCTATCTGGTCTACCGGGATCAGGTTTGATGCTATACCTATCTGGTCTACAGGGATCAGGTTTGATGCTATACCTATCTGGTCTACAGGGATCAGGTTTGATGCTATACCCATCTGGTCTACCGGGATCAGGTTTGTTGCTATACAGATCTCACATGTTAGGCAGTAAGTAGGTTACATTCAATTCTGAATGATGGTTATTAATTTGCCTGGCCTGGAACGGGGGGGGGTCAAAGATCCCTGACTTTTCTCGAAAAGGTACTAAATCATCTATTTACTCAAAGTGTGCATAATGCCCAATAACCGTGCGCAAGAATAAAACAATGGTAAGATTTCAAGAGACAATTGACTACTTTTGCGTGCGTGTGTTTAGCAAGGGTGGGTGGCTCTGGACCCTCAACCAGATCCGGCTCCTGGTTAGTTAATTTTTTTTAATTAGTTAATTTGCGGTCTGTTTACACACACACACACACACACACACACACACACACACACACACACACACACACTTACTTCAGAATATGCTGCATTAAATTATCTCTTGGAACAAGTTCATGCTGATAAATTATTATTCACTGAATTAGCTCCTATTATGTATATTATTCCTATGCCGACTTGGTGGAAAATTATATATGTTAAGAGACTAAACAAAATGTATTTTTTTTTTATTTAAAAAAAAAATCACTCCAAATACTTGACCCCATTTTCTTTCTTATGTGGTGATGATCTAATACTGTATAGACCTTACTAATCATATCCCTTTTACTGGTGATAATTTACCAAAACATCGTGCACAAAACAGCCTGACGAAATGCAAACTATTTTCTATCCAAGTTAGGTGTTGTTTTTTGCGTTTATTATTATTATTATTATTATTATTATTATTATTATTATTATTATTATTATTATTATTATTATTATTATTATTATTATTTTATAGATATGTTATTTGTCTTGAACACACCATCTTTACTATCCAAGGACCAAGGTTTCTGTAGATAGCGCTATCGGAATCTTGGCTAGCGAAGATGTGATCTCACATGTCTACAGCTATGGGTGGCTGGCTCTTCTTCCGAGCCGTTTATTAGCATTTCACTGTCTGACTGCTGTAAAAGACTCACGGTACTAATTCGTTTTCCCTAGTAAACCTATGCAAACACCATGATATTCAAAAATCAATAACTTAAAAACTTGTGGACCTGCATGTTTTTGAGTCAGGTGCTACTTTTAGTGATGAGAGTTCCAAGTTGAGGACTGTCAAAGGAATCACGGTACTAATTCAGTTAACATAGTAAACATATGCAAACACCATGATATTAAACATTTTTACAATTTATTAGTGCTGATGATCAACACCCCCTCTCTCTCTCTCGCTATATATATATATATATATATATATATATATATATATATATATATATATATATATATATATATATATATATATATATATACAATGTAATGTAATTTGAACTAAGTAAATGTCTTTGTACAAATATGTTAAGGTGTTGTCCTAAAGCTGAAAATGTAAATCTCAGTATCCTAATCTCCAATTAGAACGGCATTTGATATTTGTACGACAGGAAGATATATCATAGAAAAATCATTTATTTTAATTCACCTGTTCAGCATTGCCCATTGGGCAAATAATTGACGTGTATTTTTCAACCCTTCTAAACATGAACGCCTGACAATTTGTAGGAAAATTTATAAACCTTTCCATCCATCATTTTATATGTTCAACCTAAGAATTATGGAAGTTGACGGGTACATGTATCTTGGAATGTTTCTCTCAAATGACTGCTCAAGGCTCAAGGCACAAACAAATTGACCAAATAAAGGACAATGCATGGTGTATCAGCACTATGCAGAACTCAGCTAACAGTTTGACAGGAAAACTTTAGAATTTAATGTTTTACGTCTTTATACGAATCGTTCTGGAGTATGATAATGCGGTTTAGAACAATGGCACGTTACTCGAGAAAAGTGATATCGACAAAATATAAAATGAGGTATCCGTAAAGGGGACTGTGCGACAACATTGGTATCTATTGAAGCCTTACATCAAAAAATAGGATTTGAAAATCTTGAATCCAGTCGACCAAAGCGCAGAGTTACATTCTTATTCCTATCTCCCAGATAAGTTTCCCCCAGCGGCTAGTGATATTGCATGATATGACTTACGTAATATAAATAATTTCCAGTACAAACTGGAACAAGTCTTTATTACACTCGTTTCCTCCTGCATTAGGTATTTAGATTCGTCAAATAGACTCCATTATCAAGTTCAGAAACACATAGTATGGAGACGGTAAAAACTTTTAAAATCTAATCCTTTTTAAATACATGTGATAACTTGTACAATAAAGTACACGAATGCTAAACCTAAATGGTAAAACTATTTTTTTTTTTGCATAGTCAGTGAACCCACGAAAGCCGTTCCAGATCCATGATTTCTGGTATCGCGGGATAATGGAAAAATCCGCACTCTCGTTTATCAATGATTACGGTTAATGGTACAAATTATGCTAGGGGAACAGGTTTGATCTAGAGAAATATATTTAACTCTGTTTATGATTGGCTGGATATGTAGGTGGTGTGTGGAATTCTTGGAATGCACTCAGAATAGGGAGGGTATATTTGTTCATAAAGAAAATGTTTACAATTGTAATTTTCATACATTAAATTAAAATGGAACATGCCTGGTGGAGAGGGACCATATTTAAACTCAATATTTCCCTGCTATCTTCGTAAAACAATGATTGACAACCCAAAACGTTTCACCGAGCATTTGTTTAGAAAAATAAACAAATCTGCGTTACTGAACACGAATAAATATTATGTAGATGAAATTTTTGCAAACTGACTGAGGATTTTCGGATGCTTCTACAGTAGTCCATCATATCATCACAAGTATGTTCTCTTACTAAAGATGTATGTTCTGAACACGAAGTAAAAACATAATATTCTACATACGCACGCACACAGACACACAACAGCTCAAGCAGGAACAAATTCATTAACCTCTTGTCCAGCATTGCGCTTCTGCTCATAAAGCATAACTAAACATGTTCTCCCTGTTTCTTCCATCTTGCTTCATCTGACTGAGTCTAATCCTCCGTGGGAACAACGTATTCATTTAGTCATGTCCATTGATACTGGAGCAATAGTCAATAAAACGGTGAACTATGTCGATTTATTGTTATAGGCTGACGTTTTCTCATGTTCATTTTTCAGAGACTCGTTTATAGCCATTTTCCATCTTTATCGCAAAAACATTCCAAGGATGTAGTAGGCAATCCTACTAAATATGCATGGTTTTACCGATATTTGACTCAATAAATCCGTTCTTCTTCCTGCCAAACTAAAATGCTCCATAAATAAACAAGTATTAAGTTAATATCAGTCATGTGTTTGCTATTTCTTGCTCATATCGTAACGTTTTGTTTCACATTTAATCACGTGAAATCACGTGTGTGATTTCTTTGTCATTCCTTCATCGTTAAGTCGCTCCTCAGTGATTTTAACTTTGTTATCAAAGACACTCCCCTCTCCAGTCACCTTCCAACGTTCATATTATCCATGTTTGCGTGGTATGTCTCCTACACTTGAGAACATACATAGAAATCATCAATCGAAATCAATGCCGAAATGTTGTTGTTGTTGTTGTTGTTGTTGTTGTGGGGTTTAACGCCATTTTTCAGCACAGGAAAGGCTATACATGGCGGCCAGTATTAATGGTGGAGGAAGAAACCGGGAAATCACCGGAAAGAACCACCGACCCACGAGAAGCTACTGGCAAGCTCTCTCACATATCCACATTCGTCGAATCTTAGACTCGAACCCACGCAGATAGAGGTGAGATGGCAGTGATCCGTAACGGACAGCGCTTTAGACCACTCGGCCACTCGGGGCCCCTTATGCCGAAATGTAAAAATATAACGAAAATGAATCGTAAGCCCAGACAACATCCAATTTTGCAACGTTGTTGTTAGTATGTGATTATGCTAGGTGAGGTAATAACGTCCTAGCAACTTTGCAAAAACGTTGTGCGTGAACATTAATATTTGTCTGAGCTGATCTCAAAAATGTAGAAAATTACAAATTTCATTTTTAAAATGATAATATAGAACGATTTTACAAAAGTGTCACTTATGTTGTATATATTTTATTCGTAAAATTTATGAATACTAGAATCAAGTACAACTAATGCTTGGTCAATTTTGTATGAATAGAGATGTGTCGTTGTTGTAGGGTTTAACGCCATTTTCAGCAAATGATAGGCTATACGTGGCGACCAAAATAAATGGTGGAGGAAGAACCAGGGCAAACCCCGGAAAGAACCGCCGACCCACGGTGGCTAGTGGTTAGAGCGTCTGCCTCGGATGCGGAAGGTCGTGGGTTCGATCCCCGGTCGAGTCATACCAAAGACTTACAAAAGTGATACTAACAGATGCCTCGCTTGACGCTCAGCATTAAGAGGATAGTTTTAGGACTGGTCGGCCTGGTGTCAGAATAATGTGACTGGGTGGGAAATCATGCTACATGTCTGCAGCATGATGCCCCAGTGCTAGACATCACTATAAACTGCCACACTGCGGACATCGTAGCGATATGACTGAAAAAAATTGTTAAAGCTACGTTAAAAATTATAAACACCACCACACCACGAGAAGCTATTGGCAAGCTTTCTCGCAGACCCACATTGGCTAAACCCGAGACTCGAACCCACGCAGACGAAGGTGAGATAGCAGTGATCCGTAACGGTTAGCGCTCTAGACCACTCGGCCACTATGGGCCCCCAGAAATGTGTAGCTCTTCCTGCGGCGGCAGAATATCATTAAGCTGAGGAGTGGAATTATTTGCTGCCATCAACTGTTTTGAAAAGTCAACGAATGAACATTAATTAATTTTAATTATCATCTTTAGTTGCAGAAAGTGATGTTTGTACAATGATAGAGACATATTTTTGTAGCTGATTGTTTTAATATGACTACAGAAGCTTTCTTGCACATGTTAAAACCTTGCTATGATGTGGTCGCATCGACATGTTTGAGGGCTACTAATTGATTCTATATGATGGAGCACCAAAAACAATAATACCGTTCACGTCAAAAAGAATAATTGCGTAAAATATAGTCCCTAATTAAAGTATTATTTTGAAGGAAGTTGGGCTTATGGTGATGCTATTAAATCAGTATAAGATAAAATATACTGGTATATTTACACTTACCGCACCATGGCCGCAATGACAGATAACGCGATGTTCTCTCGGTAATTCTTTTCTGAGTGAATAAGGTTTGCTATGCCATATTTGGATATTCTACGATACATTATCAAATTCATGCAATTTACTACTATATGTTTATGTTTCCAAATAAGGATTCAATATCCTAAGGCACACAAAAAGGAGGCTGAAAACGAAAGTAGTCATTAAATAAACTGATACGGCGGACGATGTAAAAGAAAATATCAGATAAAGATAGTAAACGCTATTTCACATCTATTTCTACAAAGACATTCACCAATTCTGATATTAAATAATACAATCGCTATTGAATTTATTTCAGTATATTTATGGAACGTATTGAAATATGCTACAAATGCACCGGGCGTGAATCACGCCCGATTGTTTCACTGATATACATAGGCTTGTTTTAAAGCCCCGTCCACGAAGTAGGAGTACTTTATACCAGTAGGTGCAAACACCATACGGCATGCGAGGCTGTGAAATTTTATAAGAAATAAAACGAAGTCTATTGGCAATAATGTTCAGTCATCATAAAATGATACAAGTTTCTGGAGTACTTCTTTGACCTTTATCTTATTTGTATTAAACAAATTAGATATTAAGACATTACGGCAATTTTGCATGAAAAACTGAGCATGAGGATGGATTTCAGTTGTAAATATGCAAGGAGTTAACGCTTTTGATTTGCGCGTTCGCTAAGATAAAGATTGTAGAATCTACTGTTATTGACCAAATATTAGAAAGAAAATGAAGCATAAAAAATCAAATATATTTAAATCGAAATTGAAAGGAATTGTGTAAATTTTAAAATCGATTTGGGTGGTGTACAGGCTGCTGGGAATATAGGGTGAAACTATACACTAAGACTGATCTAGACAAATTCATTACTTGTTTTCACTTTTATAATTATATGATCTGTAAATTTTTCCATCTTTAGTGAATTTCATGGTCACCCCACTCACTCAGCTTCATCAAGAGTGACGTCACACAAAACAAATGAAGCAGACGAATGTGATGAGCTGCTTACTGTTATTGCCCATCTTTCTTTGTTAACGGGGTACTAATTTCACAAATTGTGCACTTTCTGCATAATGTCTGCAAGTTTGAAGATACTGCATTGTGAGGGCTGGGTTGATATAATATGATCCCAAACCTGTTATGGTGCTTTGGTTATCGTTATCTAGGAGATGACTAACCACGCTGTTATTACCCGGATCGAGTAAATAACAACGTAAAATATGAAGTTAATGGATGGAATAATATATCTAAGCAAAGATACTGAATAGAAAAAAAAAAACATAAGACCCCCCCCCCGTACATAAGCTATAAATTTGATCAATTACTTAAACAAAATGAAATTCAAAATAAAAATGAATGACATCTGAACTGTCTTACTGTCTCATAGAAATATAATTACGAAAGTTAGCCGATTTGTTATACTGATAAAACATATTTCGTCAGAGTTGATTAACTGATCTAAATTGAAATTGTCGACATGTTAACATAACCTGATTGCTTCCGATCCTCTCGAAATCATTGCTGGTGAGAGGTCAGCGTTGACCCTCTCTCTCTCTCTCTCTCTCTCTCTCTCTCTCTCTCTCTCTCTCTCTCTCTCTCTCTCTCTCTCTCTCTCTCTCTCTCTCTCTCTCTCTCTCTCTCTCTCTCTCTCTCTCTCTCTCTCTCTCTCTCTCTCAGTCGTAACCTAGCCATCTGCTGTCACGTAGTGCACATGTATGGGGGTTATATTTTCCTTTCAATAAAAAATACGCAACCATATTTTTGTCGTGAGGTTTTCAGGAGTCGAACAATATTTCCCCTGGTTATGTCGGATATCGTTTTTTTCGTAACTCCCCAGGCTATGCTTTGGTCGGTTTTCACCTGATATGCATACACGCACCATCGTATTAACATAAATTAATGCCTTTTTCATAGGTGCTAGTCGCATTCCTATTAGAACCCAGGCATAATTAGACCTCTCCGATAAATTATTACGTCCGAATAGGGGCTGTAAATTACTAGCAGAACAAGGTCAGTCGTCGATAAGCGATTCTCTCCTTTAAGAGAATTCACAACTTAATTCAGAATTTAACTGTGCCGAAGGAAGATTTACTTAAGAATTTCAGACACTAATAGATTTTCTAACATCCAAATCCAAATGCAAAAAATAATATAAAATAAAAAATAAAATGAATATAGGGCGCATGATTAATGTCATATTTATCTCTAGTATCCCCCTTAATTTACCCTTTTATCTCACAAATAAAGAGATTAAGTGGTCCCCGGAGGAGTCCTAATGTGATCCTTTGATATATTTTGCTTTCTCAATTCACGCCCAAGCTTTTTAACTGTAGTACGGGTACGTCGGTACTTTCCGTCAGTATATTCCACATTCCGTCCGAAAATTCGGACTCTTGTTAAGACTTGAATGGTATTTAACAGCGCGTTCCGTTATTCATGACAGAACAGTTAAAAAAATATTTTTTTTCTAAATGGTTGTAAACCTGTTACAAAGTAATGGTGAATATTAAAACTATTTATAATTCTTTAATTACATGTTTGATACATGTCACCGGTGACAATGCGGTATTGTGTGAAACAATTTCGGGCCGAATCCAACTTTCAAAAAAATGTCGAATTTTATTTTTTAAAAGCAACACTGCATGTTTTAGTTATTTGCAAGCGTATGTAAATATGTAGGGTGTGAGTGTTCATTTATAAAACTGCGAATCATCTAGCGATTTTCCGGAGCATACTTGTTTTCTGTCTGAACTTTATTCAATTTTTCAAGTCGTATCAATATTTTCTCGTTTGTTGAATAAGTATGGTTTATGTTTAATGCTCCTCTCACATGAATATTTTGCCCTTGTGTTCACATCCCACTCAAAATTTCCCCGCCTATATTATGAATAGTGTAGATAAAATACTCTTGGCTTCAGTATCAACACTATCTTATCAATATGCTTTCTAATGTCAGCATATGGCTTCACGGCATCAACTATAATGAAAATCACCCACTTTGGTTACAGTTTTTCGGGAATGTAAATTGATGCGCAAGCTGCACTCTAAAAGCTGTGATTAAAGCGGGATGATTCACTTTATCTAGTGATAAGGTACGGGTCATTTGATTTTCAGGGTGAACGGAGAATGACTTTTATTTTCTCTTGAGACGAAATATTTTTTTTATCTCATGATGATTGATATCTTATCAAAATAATATAATGGATATAATATGCTGCTATTTTTGATATAACTCAGAGAAAGATATTTTTCCCAGCTATTGTCAGACGGAAGTTATCCCACCCACACCCACCCCAAAAGTGTCACGTCCCTGCCGCAAAGCATTGAATTGTTGGTTCCCAAAACAGTTGCGGTACAACATGGTACGTATCGCGGTACGCTTCAAATTTGTCGTGGTACCCAACTCTAATGGTCTAAGGACAAAGGTAAAGACAAAATGTGGACAAAACTCAGCTTGTCAGGAGATGCTGCCACAAATGATATCTTTTTGTAAGTACATGTATGGACACTTTTGTCCTTACCTCCCAGCTGAATAGGAATTTTCTTTCCAGTCCTATTAATATTCATGCCAATTTCATTTCTGGCAAAAACAATATCATATTAGCAGAATGGAAAGAAATTAAATTTTTCCAGTTGAGATTTAGAGACTTTACAAGAATAAAAATAATTGGATCGGACTATTTTTAAAATAAATCTTTTCACGTTAAGTGACTCATAGGAAGCGCCTGAAGTTGATTTTAACAAAAAGCGACCAGGACATGCTCTAACTAGTCAACAACATTTTTTGGGGTATATTCCTAAGACTTAAGAATGATGGTATGCATAAATTAATCCTTGACAGCAAAAAATTGAATCAATATATATAACAATATTACTTCAGATATAATCTTTCCATTTTGTCACCAATCTAATTTAAACAAAACTAATGGTTAGAAGAAATGTATTATTCTCGTTCTTTCATGATTTGCGCAGTCTATACTTCAGACTATCAAAGCATACTTTGATTTCCACTGCCATCCAAAGGGGTTATTCTCATTGATCTTTATGTATAAAGTTATTAAAGCTCTTTTTTGCATACCTGCGCCAGTTATGTCCTTGTTCATGTAAACTAGTGCACATTGACGAGTTTACTGCAGGAAAAGATATGCATTGA